TGGGAGGAAAGAGAGGGTATAAATATTGGCGTAAAATTCAAAGATTCGTTGTTCGAACTGATGCTGACCACTGAAAATGAGTGGTATATTACGGGAGCGAAGGTGAGTGGCAATGAGAGATACGCCTTTGCAAGGTTAGATAATGTACTTATTAAAGCTGAAATAAATGCAAAATAACTTAGTAATGATCAACTCACTCTTCTCCCTTCTTAATTGCACTGGAAAAATAGGGATAAAAGCTATACCCGAAGAGCTGTTAATATCCTACTACGAGGGCTAAATAACTTAAGAAAGTTTAAGCCAGAGATAGGTCCATGTAGTTCTCTAACCCTCTACATAAATGAAACTATTGCTTAGATTAAGTTAAGATGTCGTCGATGTAGTCTTGATATCGAAGCTCGGAGGCATATCTACTCATTGCTAATGCTCTTTATGTGTGCCAGGAGGTTAAAGTTTGTGTATGAGCCCACCGGCTACCTGATACAACTTTTTCGCCGAATCATTTTTAAAGAGCCTTAATGTTATCCTCAAGGATTTTATTTGTTATCCTCAAGGATTCTCAGAATTTCTAGCAGTATCTTACTCATATTGGCTACATCATTGATCCAAGTGGCCTAACAACGTGATCGAATAGTTTAGATGCCTTAGTATTTCGCCAATTGGTTTCAAAGCTCTTCTGAGCATTACTGGGTAAAGTATACGTTTTTCAAAAAGACTCAGGCTGTTACGTTATGAATAAATAACTTTAGTTCGGGAATGCCTCTACAATTGCTAAAACGAATGTTGTAGTGTGAGCCGGTGGGCATTTGGTTTGAAATTCTGCATACCATTTGGGAAATAATAATCCCCACATTTTCTATTTTCAGGGTATCATTTTCCTCGCAAAAAGGTACGAGAAATTCCAAACACCCGAAATACAAAAGTTGATCGATGAAAAGCTCTATGCGCTGCTTGTGGATGTGAAAAAGTATACGGAACCCTCCGCGCGCCTGCGCAATGAATACTTGCATCGGGACTCTTGGGAACGAAACATTTTCTTCAAATTCGACGCAAACCGCGAACCCACCTCCTGCTGTATTGTGGAATTTCAGCTAAGCCGTTACGCGCCACCTGCCATGGATGTACTCTTCTTCTTGTACGGCGAAACGCCAGCTGAAGAAAGAAAACTGCGAATGCAAGAATATCTGGAGTATTATTATGCCGAGTTGCAAGCGCGTTTCCGGGAGTTGAAGCTGCCACTCGACACTATCACGAAGGAGGATTTTCTGGAAGACTGTCGACGTACTCACCTGCCAGTGCTTATTCTGGTGGCCATTATCAAACCGCTGACGATGATGCCCGATGGTTTGTCGCGCAAGTGGCGCGAGGAGGAGCAGGAAAAGTTCGACTACTACATGAATGTTCAGCGCGAGGAACTGTTCCTACGGCTAATGGCGCTCGATCCCACATATGAATGGCGTATTATGTGGCCCATTGAAGAGCTTATGGAATTTTTACAAATAAATAGAGATTTGTTAGATTAAGTAGACCTCTGAATTTTTTTAGCTAAATTTAGTGATATAAAGTTGAATATATGTTTTATTACAACAACAAATGCATCATTTCTTCAATACACGCAAAAATATACTCCTTAAATTTCCCATCCAATTTCAGCAGCTCGAGCACCTCATTAACGCGGTCAACATTTGTGTAGCGATGAAAGGCATCTGGGTTATTCAGCTTTAAGTTCTTCAAATAATCGCCCGGCGTACGCAGAATTGGCGCTGAGATGCAGTTGTAGAGCGCACCGAAGAGCTCCAGCGACTTTAGCGACTGTTCGAATTCGTTTCGACTGAGTTGTTGCTCGGCGTCCACATCCTGTCGCTTCAGTTCGTCGGCGAAGTAGTTGTAGTACCTGTCGTAGTACCAATATTTTAGCGTTTTCCGTTGCTGTGGTGTGATGTTCAGGTAGACTACCATGAGAACATCAATGGCGGGCGGACTATAGCGCGCCAGTTGGTAGTCGACTAGAACTACCGGCTCGGCGTCAGGTTGAGATTTGCTGAAGAACAAGTTGCCGCCCCAGAGGTCGCGGTGGCAAAAGACGTT